CCGGCCGCTCAGCTAGTTATTCCCTAGCCGAGGCAGAATGTGGGACATCGCGGCTTACAGTTTTCAGCTGAAAAGCAGCATGCCCCTCTGGCTAACAGCGCACAGCACAGTGAGATAGACGCCCCTTGCCACCGAAGGCCTCAGGAGCAGTGCTCCCCTGAGCCCAGGAGCCCTCCGGGGTGGCCTGTCTGCATCAGGACCATGGTGGACACACTGCCTTTGTTCAAGGGGCCATTTGATATCGTGTGTTCTGAGACAAGTGGAGACAGCTTGGAGCAGCGGTCATTCCGTCTTTGAAGAGTTGCTGAGAATGTGGTGAAGCCATTGCCAGCCTCTGAGCTGCTGTGCGCAGGGTCCCCAGGACTGTGGCTGGACCCTCCTTCCTCTTGCTGGCCTACACCACCTCCCTGCAGTGGTGGGCAGCAGCAGGGCCCTCCCACCCGGCCTGACTGTGGGGCGGGGAGACCTCAGCTCTGCCTGGCCCTGCCCTGTGTCTCCATCTGCCTGCAGCCGAGCTCCCTCTAGCCTGGTTCTCTGGCGCTGCGGGGTGGTATTCCGTCGGGCGGTTTTCTCATATCTGTTACTGTTTATTGTAGTTTTTTTTGCTTGTTATAGGTGTGTGCGCTCACCAGAGAGGGAAAGTGATAAGCCCCCCGGGGGATGGCCACGTCGTATCCTTTCTCCACTCTCTTGGGAATTTGGGCACGCATGCACACGGCACATACCCTCGGCTGGTGTGCTTACTCACCTGTCGAGTCCAGGCCTCGAACCATGCAGCCGGCCGTGTGGGATCTGGCACTTTACCACCAGACCACCACCTGGCCCTGCGTTGGCTCGTTAGCTGCTGCTGAGTCAGACACGGCAGTTCTGATTTTTTGCCACTGTGGAGAGACAGGGCCTTTGGGGAGTTGACAGCGAAGGGGCTATGCGCCAGGAATGTGGCAAATGCAGAGCCAGTGAGGCCCTGCTTCCTCTCCTGGACCCTGGGCTCCGGCTCCCGGGCTGCCCGGCGGCCTCCTGCCCTCATGCCAGGTACCCTCGCTCTGCAGACCAAGCTGTACACCCTGCCTGCCAGCCACGCCGTGCGCGTGTACGCGCGGGTGTGCGAGACGCTCGTCGGCCACCTTGAGCTGCACTACAGGCACGGCTACACCCTGCCCGTCGCCGCCAGCATCCGGCTGCAGGTACGGGGCTGGGGATGCGTCCCTGAAGGCCCCACACCCAGCATGCCTCCTCCCTCTGGGCGGATGTGGCACCTGGCAGGTGGCTGTGGCCCGGGTGGCCTATCAGCTGTCTGTTCCCTCCTCAGCATCCATGTGGCCGTGCCCGCCCCAAGCCTGCCACCTTACCTCTGCCTCAGGCACTGTGTGTCTCTTCCTGGTCAGTCTGGGGACACAGTGGCCTAGGATGGGGCAGAGGGAAGGAAACACATCCGTTTCCTGGTGGCCTGGCACCATGGCGTCTGTTGGTGACCCGCGGCTGAGGGCTGGGCTACACTGGTATGTGGGCAGTGACGCTGGACTGAACAGAGGACTCTCTGAGTCCCTCCGGGAGCGCCTGCGCGGTGGTGTGGCCCCAGCCGTTCGGCCCTGAGCAGAGCTGGGCCTAGGTTGCTGGGATGGAGTGTTGTCTGCTAGGGGAGGTGGGGCAGGCTGCTGTGGGCAACCTCTGAGCCTGGGCTGGGCTGGGGTGCCCAGGTGTACGTGGTATATGCCACCATCTGCCCTGGGAACGTGACCCTTTCTGTCGTTGGTGCCACCTGCCCCGGACCTGTGTCCCTCTCTGACCATGGTGCCATCTGCCCTGGGCCTGTGTCCCTCCATCTGTGCTGCCATCTGCCCTGGGCCCGTGTCCCTTTCTGACCACAGTGCCACCCGCCCAGGGCTGTGTCCCTTTCTGACTGCGGTGCTGCCCGCCCCAGGCCGTGTCCCTCCCTCTGTCCGTGGTGCCATCTGCCTTAGACCCATGTTCTTTTCTGACCGCAGTGTTGCCTGCCCTGGGCCGTGTCCCTCTGACCGCAGTGCCACCCGCCCAGGGCCATGTCCCTCTCTGACCGCGGTGCCACCCACCCAGGGCCGTGTCCCTCTCTGACCGCGGTGCCGCCGGCCCTCTTCTGCTGCCCACAGGCCTTCGACTTCCTGCTGCTGCTACGGGCTGACTCGCTGCATCGCCTCGGCCTGCCCAACAAGGACGGCATCGTGAGATTCAGCCCCTACTGCGTCTGCGACTGCGTGTACGTGAGCTTGTGGCTCCAGGGTGTCAGGCCAGCCATAGTCGGGGACACGGTCTATCTGAAGGGGATCCTGGTACCACGGGGCCGCTCTGCTCGCTCCTGTGGAGCAGGGCCCTGGCCTTAGCTCCTTTCCCATTGGCTTTTGCAGGGAGCCAGAGAGAGGCGCTGAGAAGAAGGCCAGCGGTCCCCTCTCGCCTCCTGCAGGGCCGCCTGGCCCGGTGCCTGCAGGCCCTGCCGTGCGGCTCGGCCGCCCGGCCTACTCCCCCGCCCT